GTTCGCCACCCTGTTCTTTTCCGCCCCAGATTCCCTCCGCCTCTTTGGTGCGGCCCTTTCGCCTGGTAGCCACCGCCGCCGCCCCAGATCGCAAGTTCGCCACCCTGTTCTTTTCCGCCCCAGATTCCTTTGCAGGTATGAACCAAACAAAACAAGGATGTCTTCATTACGTCCCAGTTACCAGCGTGATCTAATTCCTTTACCATTAACATTACCACTCTCTGATCCAAACACCTCATATAAGAACTAGACATCAGTAATTTTGTTAGATTGACTACAAATTATAGAGCAGTTCTTGTTTTGTTAGATGTATATTGATTGGTAGTACATAGAAACTTCCACACAAATCCACTTATACAAATGCAAAATTGCGCAATGCAAAAATCAATCCAAATGATAACACCCACACGTGTGGCATTTATCAACATGCCCGCACGCACTCGATGCCGTTTGATTTATTTGCATGAATTTTGAAGTAGTTGCCATATGGATGGAGAGCCACATAAACACCCAACGTCGTGTGGGCTTTATCATTTAGTGCCACACGTGTGGGCGCTCCTCACCCGAACGGACACAGGAGGACTCGCCCGAACGTGTGGGCGAAACTGCTCTTCGCTCATACGGTGATAGATGGCAACTACATGTGTGCATATGTGGCAACTAGTTAATCACACACACCAAGTATGGTTGACCATACATGACAACTACGGTTTAACAGCACACGACAACTACAGGTGTGCATATGGGGCAACTAGTTAATCACACACGGCAACTATGATTGATCATACATGGCAACTATGATTTGACCACATGTGACAACTCCAATTAGTTACATATGGCAACTATATTTAATGATACATGGCAGACATGACAACTACAGTTAATTACACATGGCAACTAAAGTTGATTACACATGCATTCGCACTCACGGTGTGTGGGTGAACAATTGCCACATAGGGTCCTGTGGGCCGTGTGACTTGATAAAAACCGTTTAAACTTTGAATCATGCATTTGACTTGATAAAAAATGCAGGCCTTCTTTTCAGACACGAAGGAAAGCGAGTAGTAGCTATAGTGGGATGTACAATGCCTCTTTCCCAAGAATGAGGAACACCACGGCGGGAGTGCTCGCTCCGATGGCGATCACAACGTACGCAGGCCACCTTGCCGTGGGCGCAACGGTGATGTAAACAGCGGTCATGAGCGAGACGACCATGGCGAGGCAGGCAACGATGGTGAGCCTGTGGCCCCACATGAGCTGGTCGAGCTTGAACTTGACGGGGTCCCGCCATGCCCAGATGAAACAGAAGACGACGACGACGGAGCTGCACATGGCGACGGTGTTGGAGATGACGAAGATCTTGAACGCCGCCGTGTGCCCGTGGATGGCCGTGCCCTCGGTCTGGCTGTAACCCCCCGGCATGGTGAAGGTGGCGGCGAAGCTGACGGTGGCGATGAGCGTGGCCACCAGCGTGTAGGTCTCGACGCTGTGCTTGAAGTACTCGTCGTGGCCAGCCCTCCGGCCGCGCAGCGACTGGTAAGTAGCGATTGGAGGTAGCTGCTGCTTCTGGCACCTGCAGGCCTCGTGCTTCTTGAGCTTCTTCCACAGGTACATCTCGTAGGTGTCCATCTCCTCGCTGGCGCCGCGCTTCTCGATGAGGCTGCGCGCGGACTGGCCGTCCCGGTTGAGGACGCAGGGGTTGACGCGGCAGTCCTTGATGAGGAGCAGCGCCGACTGGACGCGCGACAGGGCGGCGGCGAGGTGCAGCGGCGTGTTGCCGCCATGGTCGACGCGGTTGACGATCTCCTCGGGGCGGACGTGCTTAAGCAAGCGCTTGAGGGCGTCCACCTTGCCGCTGGTGACGGCGACGTGGAAGGCGTTCCTGCCCTTGCTGTCCACCATCTCCGCCGCGTCGGGGCAGTGCTTAAGCAGCTCCACCATGGCCTCCGTCGACCCGTAGTTGGCGGCCATGTGCAACGGCGACTGTAGGTCGCGGTTGCGCCTGTAGGCCAGCTCCACCTTCCGGTTCAGCAGCAGCTTCACCACGCGGGCGCTGTTCTTTTGAGCCGCGTAGTGCAGCGCGTTGTTCTCGCTCGAGTCCGTCAGCGCGATCTGATCCTCCGGCGTCGCCACGAGCAATATCTCCACCACACCTGCTTGCCTTGCCACGTTAAAGTTACACGATACAGGACAGGATCAACGAAACAGAAAGGTGTAACAACTCCGGGGTGTCTAGGCACCTGTATGAACAATAAATTCCAAAAAAAGAAAAAAAATCTGAAACTTTGTAAAATCAAAAGATGACCGAACTTTGTAGGTTCTTGCAAGTTTTCATGTCAAAATATCATGTAGAGAAGGGTGTACAAACGAGTTTTCAGATTTCAGTGCTAAAAGTGCTCAAGACTTCAAACATTGAAATCTTTTTCGTGTGTACAGCTCCTTGAAAGATTTTTTAGCATGAAAACTTGCAAGCACCTACAAAATTTGATCATCTTTGATGTTGCAAAGTTTTAGATTTTTATTTTTTTTTATTTTCCCGTTCATAGAGGGTGCCTGGAAACCCGGGAGCTGAAAAACCACCCTCTCGACGAAAATAAGGCGATACTTACGGCTGTGGCCGCCGAGGACGGCCTGGTGGAGGGCGGTGCCGCTGACGGAGTCGGAGGGGAAAAACCTCTCGCGGACCCAGGGATGGCTGACGATCTTGCTCACGACGTCGGCGAGGCCCTCCCGGGCGGCGATATGCAGCGGCGACTGCTTTTTCGCGTCGAGCGCGTGGCCGCAGCTGGGCTCGGCGTCCAGCAGCTTGAGCGCCACGGCGCTCCAGCCGTGCTGCACGGCCTGGTGCAGCGGGGTGTCGCCGGCCTTGTTGGCTATCAACAGAGGCCCCAGCGCCTCCGTGCTTCCAGTTCCAGGGGAGGTCGGGGAAGGTTTTCCGGTGTGTCCATCAACATGTTTTCGGTGCGCGGCGGCGGGGGAGTGCTGCGGTTGCTCCGAAGGCAATACTCTGGCGTGCGTGATGAGCAGCTCCACCATGTCCACCTTACCCGACCTGGCCGCCAGGTGCAGCGGCGTGTCGCCGTCGGCGTTCTTGGTGACGAGCAGCTTGTGGTCCACGCCCAGGGCCTCCTCGGCGAAGCCGGCATGGCCGAGCTCCGCGGCGATGTGCAGCGCGGTGTTCTCCTGGGGCGTCTTGGAACCAAGGATGTCGGGGCGCTCGGCCGCCAGCATCCTCAGGCTCGCCACGCTCCCCTTCACCGCCGCCGCGTGCAACGCTGGGTCCATCCTACTTACGTACTGTACCAACTAGAGTAGCTTCTACGTACTCTTAACCCTCCTCTTCTGTGCTACCTAGCTCGATCGTGGAGAACACCGCGCCTGACTTGATTGGTCATGCGTATGAACAAATTGTGACGGACACCGGCTGGATTCCTTGCTTCCCCCTTGAACTTGGAACTGATTTTTGAACCGGTGCTGCGGTTACGTGCACTTGGCGGGGTGCTTTGCTTGCCAACCAACTTTGGTATATGCCTCACGCTGTCACCTCACTTTAGCCAATCCAACGCTCGATCCGGTTAGAGTTAACTAGCTACTATATATATAGCAATTCAAATTATATTTACAACTACTCCCTCCGTCCCATAATATAGACATCCTACATTACGGGACGGAGGGAGTAGCAGTTAGACAAACTACAGGGCTATCGCTGGTGGCGCTTGAGCACCATTTCCTTCTTAAAGACGTTGTTATTGGAGAACCTTTCATATTGTCTTTGTGATGTTATACGATATATAGCCGATGCAAAAAAAAAAATCGATACGGAGGCAAAAGTTTTGCCTCATCCATTAATTAAGCAGAAGAGAGTTGCCCGGTTAATTAGTGGAAAACTGGGCAAAAACCAATACATCAAGGGCCAAGCCCACACTCGCCGACAACATGCCGAAATACAACAAGCCGGCCATCCACCACTGCAAGAAAGAAGAATCCGTGACTACTATGAGAGGAGCAGTCACGGGACTCTCCGGCAGAAATGAACGACATGCACACCACATGACCTGCGCTCAAATGCATAAACATGCCAATGGCCAACATCGAAGGCAACCTCGTCGCCCACACGACACGAAGTCGGATCCCTCGAAACTGCAAAATCTCAGAGCCGCCACCCCGACATCCACCGCTCCACCGCGCCCTGCGCGATCAACCAACTCCACCTTCCGGGGCCGCCACCCCGACATACCACCGCTCGCTCTCGAGCCACGACGCCGCACGATCCAGCCACCCGCAACCCGCGTTGCGCAGGAAAACCGCCCGCAGACCACGGCCGTCGCACCGCTTCCGGGGCCGCCACCCCGACATACCACCGCTCGCCCTCGAGCCACAACGCCGCACGACCCAGCCACCCACAACCCACGTTGCGCAAGTAAACTGCCCGCAGACCACGACCGTCACACCGCTTCCGGGGCCGCCGCCCCGACATAAAGTCCAACCGTCCACACTGGAACGCATCGACCGAGCCGACGACCTTGCCGCCCTCGCAGCTCAAGAACGCCACCCAAGCCATGCTGAGCTGCAGCCCTACCTCATGGAGCCGTCGCTGCATCGCTTCCCGAGACCGCCGTCTCGGCGCCCAAGTCCGAGGCCGCTGCCCCGACATCCACTGACCCTGATGGTAGAGAGATCCTCGCAACAGCCTCAATCGCCTCTCCCAAGCGACGCCTTCAAGAAGGACACGACGTAGATGCCGCCGCCGCCTGCTTCGGAGAACCGAAGCTAGGATTTTCATCCGGAGAGCCAAATCCATCGTGAGGCCGAAGGAGCTCCACAGCGACGCCTCCAAGAAGGTAGACAACATCCGTAGGTGCCGTCGTCATCGGTCCTGACCATGGTCAGGGCAATTCTTTCGCCGGAGCTCCTCGTCTCACGACCGGATTGCCGATCCAGAGCAGCATGGCCGCCCGGATCGCCCGAGAGGTCACCTCCACCACCTGCAGCAACCACCACCACGCAAAAACCCCACCACCGCACCTCATGCGACGACGAACTCCACGCCACTACCACGACAACAGCCGCCGCCATTGCAACCACCATCCCGGGGCCGCCGCCCCGGCATCCGCACCTGGCCTAGAACCGCCCTCGCTCCTCCCTGACACACCACCACGCCTGACAGCCCCTGGATCCGCCCGGCAGCAGCAACGCTGCGCCATACACGAGCCATAGCACCGGATCCCTGCAGCAGGATGCCGCCGCGCTCACCCGGCCAGATGCACGCCCGCGCGCATCAGTGCGCCCAGCCACCCCTTGTCGCCGCGGCCACGCGGCTCTCTGCACCTCCACGAGCCATGGCCGCCACCCCACTTCTCCGCTGAGCCCCGCTCCCGCCGCCGCACACCACCATTGAAGTCAGACGGGACCTCGAGATCCGCTCGAACCACGCCGCCATATAGCCCCACCGCCGCCGACGCCGCCCGGGCTTTGCCCGGCGACACCCTCCGGCAGCGGTGAGGGGAGAGGAGGAGAACAAGGGCCCCTAGGCGGCCGGGGTTTGGGCGCCCCGGTGCAGCCCGTGGAGCCGATGCAATTATGGTCCTTGTTATAGTTTGCCCATCGTTATTTTGATCGCCTCGGAGATTTTTCGCCTCCACTTGCATTTTTCTCATCAAGTTTGAATTGCTTTTCACTTTTGCCATGTGGTTTTTTCCTTCGCATACATATCTTTCTTCTTGTATGATTTCACTATTTGCCTGTGTGCTTCTTTGTTTGTGTGTTGGTATTGATGTTTTTTTGAGTTGTGAAAAAATAATTCTTAAAAAAATACACGTCTCCTATTACAAATTATGCAAGGCAATTCTAATTCTCTCATATTTTGAGGAAATACGGAACGACAATTTTTAGTGCAAATCTGCAAGCTGACAAGGAGCCATGCCTATGGGCACGGCCCACCAAAACCAAAAAATATGTGGAGGCGGCTAAGCCGACTAGGTTTTTGAGGGGAACATCCTTCGGTGGCTCCCCTCCGCCGACATCCCTCTCGGTCGTTGGTGGTGAGGTAGGGCGCTGGATTCCGCACGTACAAATCATGTAGCTTTAGGTTTAGGGCTTAGCAGCTTAGGTTCTTGACAGTTTGATATCATGGCTTCGGCAAGAGCGACAACGGCGCTGAATAATAAAGTTTCAAATCCTTCCTCGACACGACATTCTGCTTGTTTATGGATGATGGATCTGATTGCTAGTCTATTCGAGTGGAAATGATGTGGTGGTGGCGGCATCCCTATGGTGGACTTCTGTCCCAGACTCCGCCGTTGAGACGGTGTTTGCTTTTGCATCGACAGAGCTCAGAAGGCGGTGCAAGAGTGTATGCAAATAGTAATCTGCGTCGATGCAACTGGAAGACGGTGGATCATGTGCTAGGTTCGTGCTGGTGGTTGATAGGTATGGTTTCCACCTCCAACATCATCGTCGAGCGGGGGTAACTAGATCTGGAGTTTGATGACATGCGGGGTACTGCTTCGATCTGATTGTTTCAACAGTAATGACTTCGCCTTTGGTAAGCTAATTTGGAGGCCTGTAAAGCCGCATATCAATAATTGATCCGCGTTGAGCTTGGCTGAAGAGGTAATCCGTCATATTTTATTTTGGTTGTTCTTGTGGTGTCGGAAGCAGTGGCGGGCATTGGCGTCAAGCACAGACGGTTTTTCGGCCTTTATTGCATTTTGTTTTCTTGGTTGGTGGTTCTTTTGCGCAAAGACTAGAGTTTAACTATTTTTTCAGCTTTGTTAGGTTGTTGTTTACGTGACTTGTAACTTGAACATTGTATATGATTGAAACACGTATCATCGTAAAAAAAATATAGGCATGACATACAACAAACACAGCAAATTACCAGAGCAGCTGCGAACCAATCAGGGTTTAAGTCTTGATGTGCGTGTGTGCGTTCATAGAGGTGCGTGTATGCGCGTGTATATAAGCGATTGTGTTTGTGTTAAAAAAATTACCAGAGCAGCTCTAACGAATTTCTAAACCCACACGCTCAAAATATCAGAAAATCCTAGGCGCCAAATAGAACGAGGTCTGCTTTTTTGGGGGAATAAACGAGGTACGTTGGTTCGGTAGTGCCTGAACGGGCCAGCCGATATGTTTCTTATTAATCGGTTTGGGAAGGTTCCTCCGGGGAGTTTTGTGTTTTTCCTTGATTTTTTTAATGGTTTATATTTGGTTTTGTTTCAGGTTTTTTGTCATTTTCTTTTTTTATCTATTTTTATTTATTATTTTCCTGTTCCCATTTTAAGTTAAAATTTTAAAATTTGTGGACATTTTGTTAATTCAAATGAATATTTTTTCAAATTCTTTCTCTACAAAACTCATGTACTTTTGGAAAATACACGGACATTTTCTAATCTGCTATGATTTTCCCTTATAAAATTACTTCATTTCAGTTTCATTGTAATAATATAGATTACGTATATTTTTCAAATTAAAAGTTCAATTTTGATATATTTTTTAATATGTGAACCCTCGTAGCAACACCTTTAAAACAAGACTAATCTTGCTTACATTTTGACTAGTTAAATTTCCTTCTACCAATCATATTTCTGTATCACTTATTTTAATCGAATTCCACACATGTCACTCATTATTTCAGATGTTCCTTTTACTTATTTCAGTCGTATTCCCTAAAAAGTCACTTCTTATTCTAGTTTCATTATTTCGTTGCTTGAAAAAAGTGGTATTAGAAAAAAGAACCCCAATAGCCTCTTTGCATTCGCTATGGAGCATGCAATTGTAAACGTTTTCATGGAAAATTCTTCGAAAACGCATGGCAACTTCTGGCAAACAGAGGATTTGTTGCAAAAATTGCCTTGTTCACTTCAAAGAATTGCCATGCTCCAACACATAAATTTGCCGCATAAAACATTTGTATTGCCATGCATCACCAACGAATGTCGCTGAATAAAATTACCCAAGGAAAAAATCTAATTCAAAGAAGTGATTCCAACTATACTCATTATTTCAAAAATTTTGTTTTAGTTACTTCAGAAATATTTCATTGTTAAAAAAACGGTTTCAACTATTCTCTATATGTTAAAATTATTTCAGAAATATTTCATGACTCTGATAAAATGATTTCATTTATTTCAGTATATCAAATAATTGTTTTCAAGTATTTTTATTATTTCACAAAATTCTATCAGAAATAATTCATTATTTCCAAAATAAAAGTTAGTTCAAATATTTACATTATTTAGAAAGGTTATTTCAATTATTTTCATTATTCCACAAAATTATTT